TAGTTATATGAAGTATTAGACCTGGCTTGTCTCCTGTTCCTGCTATGGAATGGTCCAGCCTTGGATACTCAGACCCAGCCTTGGATGCAGGGTGGGGTCTCAGAGCTGAGGGCTCCTGGTCATACTCTAGGCACAAGGAACCCTTTTTGCCCTTTGAGAAAATCATGAGGTCACAGTGCCCCCAAGCTGATGGTCACCCTGCTCTGGTGGCCATAGAAGAATCACCAGCTGTTAAGGTCTGTAAACAAGTCAAAACAACACCTGGTATTTTGCCAGAGAAATGTTAGAGTTCGTAAACAAGTCTGGATGGTGCCTGGCAAAATGCCAGAGGGAGTGGTTTGAGAAGTAACAAAAGCGAGCCATTAAGTGTGGAGATTCCTTATTGGTTGACTGATGTATCGAGTTTATGCTAATTAAGATAAGATGTGTAAAATGTATAAATACCTCTGTTGTCCTACAATAAACGGCTCCTACTCCTGCTGTATCAAAGTACAGAAGTTACTCGTCACCCCCTGGATATTCTGCTGCAGCCAGACTGTGGCAACCAGCACGGGATATGTAGGTGTGCTGCCGTATATCAGGTCTCAGACCCTACCACAGACAGAACCCCTTGGCTGCCAAGGTGCTGGTGAGAGTGTGGTTGCCCAACTCTCTCCAGTGCTGGATGTAGCTCAGGATATAGGCCTGGCTGTTTTGGGGGTAAGAGTTCCCTTCCTGTGAGTTTCTACTAGAGCTAAGTGGAAAGTTCTTCCATCCTGCATCTGCTGCAGAGGATAAAAGGATAATACTGGAAAAAAAAAACATTTCTACATTTAAAATTGAGTGTGTCCCTTGTGCTAGTGAATATGAAGTAGCTGTTGCTATGACTCCTAAACAAACAGGTGAAGAAAAAACAGATATCCAGAGAAGGAAAACAGCTTCCCTGGGGCTCAGATAGGAGTGGGAGACTGGAATTTGATCACAATCCATCTGGGTCTGGAACCTCAACTTCTAATGACTATGGTACTTGCTGCTTGACAGAGATAGTACTGGGGGACTCATGGTAGGAGTGCCCCAAATGCAATATAGAGCCACCATCGGACAAGATGGCAGCTGGAGGCTGGACCCAATCTATCTACTTCTGTGCCGGAGGGAGACTCTTGTGATGTGGACAGCTAAGGACAATGCAGGAGAACGGTTCTGAATTTCTAGAGCTGTGCTTGCCTGAGCAGTTTGTATGATGGCTGGAGGCTATGTGGGATGAGGAGAAAGGACAGGTCATGGATCTTGGCATGTCTTACGCTTGTGGATTATCCCAGGAAAGCTCGGGATAATCCAGCACCTTTCTGGGTGCTTTGTTCTGCTATCTCCTCTCTAGGGACAGTGGCCGTCCACAGGGCTCAGCCCTAGTAGGTGTTGATGGAGGTTGGGGTAAAGCTTAGCTTTCATCTCCTGAGGCAGCGAGTGTGTGTGTGTGGGGCCCTGCTGGTGAGTCATCCAGCACCCCTGTTTTGCCGGCCCTTCCAGAATTTGCTTCTCATGCAGTGAGCGACTTAGGATGCAGGGAACCCCTCCCCATTGGTAAAGAAGTGAGAAATCCAGACCAGCCTGGGTGACTCAGAGGCACTTTCAGCCAAGGATTGGCCCCTTGGTGTGAAAATAGCCCAGGGAGGCAGCAAGTACTGCTCTGGAAAATTAGGGCAGCCATTATTTTCCCAAGGACGGGGATCAGTCATACTGGTAGGAAGAACACACGCTTCTCTTGTAAACTAGAACGTGACGTCTTCAGGAGAAAATCAATTCTTTGGTTGAAAGACAAGTTTGTCCTTAAACTGTCAGGAGAAAGCTGGCTGCAGCAGTGGTTGGTGGGCAGAGCCTGAAGTGGAACTGAAGCTCATTCCCCCACCAGCCGGGAAGTCCTAGATGTCCTGGGACAGGGAGGGGGAAGCCCCAGGATATCTGGCTGCAATGGAGTGGGCTGTGTGCAGAACCAAAGGCAAGACTCTTAAAAGGGTTAGAAAGATGCAGATGGCATTATGTTTACAGGCAGAGGCTGCAGGTGGAAGATGCACAGGGACTGGGAACGAGAGAGTGAGAATGACAGAGTGTCCCAAATGAGTCTTTGGTCCTGTTTCTCCACCCTGTGACATGTGAGGTCAAGATGTTAAACGAGTGGCTGTCACATTGCAGTGTGCATCAGAGTTCCCTGGAGGATGTGTGATACTGAGAAATGCTGGCTTCATCCTCTGAATTTCTGATTCAGTAGATCTGGGATAGGACCCGGGAATGTGCATTTCTGCTGATCAGAGAAGCACACTTGAGAGCTACTGGGCTCCATGCCACCTCTTGCTCTCGGGCACCTTCTGGGCACTTACTTGAGTTCTTTAGCTAAACAGCTACCTACAGATCAAGAATACAAGCAATAATAAGTGTTGGCGAGGATGTGGGGAAAAGGTACACTCATACATTGCTGGTGGGACTGCAAATTGGTGCAACCACTATGGAAAGCAGATGGAGATTCCTCAGAAAACTTGGAATGGAACCACCATTTGACCCAGCTATCCCACTCCTCGGTTTATACCCAAAGGACTTAAAATCAGCATACTACACTGATACAGCCACATCAATGTTTGTAGCAGCTCAATTCACAATTGCTAAACTATGGAACCAATCTAGGTGCCCTTCAACAGATGAATGGATAAAGAAAATATGGTACATGTATACAATGGAATATTAGTCAGCCTTAAAGAAAAATGAAATTATGGCATTTGCAGGTAAAAGGATAGAGCTAGAGAATATCATGCTAAGTGAAATAAGCCAACTCCCCCAAACCAAAAGCTGAATGTTTTCTCTGATAAGTGGATGCTGATCCACAGTGGGGTGGGGTGGGGGTTTAGGAAGGGATGAAGGAAATTTGGTTTGTATAGAGGAGAATGAGGGGAGGGGTAGAGCTGTGGGGATGGGAAGGACAGTAGAATAAGACAGACATTATTACCCTGTATACATGTACGATTACACTACTGGAGTGACTCTGCATCATGTACAGCCAGAGGAATGAGAAGTTGTGCTCTATTTGTATACTATGTGTCAAAATGCATTCTACTGTCATGTATAACCAATAAGAACAACAATAACAACAACAAAAAAGTGACTTACAGGGGTTAGTCTGATAGATTGGGAGCATCAGTGGGGAACAGAGTGGGACAGAATCCATCGGGTCGTGGGGTTGGAGACTGGCCCTGGCCCTTCCTTCCCTGGGGATAGCAGAACACCAGCCACTCTCTAGCCTGAGATCCTAAGGCTGATCTCTGGGTCACTCACTCCCCCAAGAGGCAAAGGGGTGACACCCTTCCTAGGATGCAAAGAGGAGGCTCTGATAAGGTAGTTGATGCCAAGAATACCTGGCACCAGGTGCTGAGGTTGGCAGAGGTGGTGGGGTGTTGAAGTGGGGAGCAGCTCAGAGACAGAACTTTAGGGATTGACATCAAAGTTCATATTCAAGTATTGCTCCACGTTTTTGGTTCTGTGTGACTGGCTGGGTGGCATTTCACCTATTGATCTCTGATTTTCTTATCTGTAAAATGAGAACCATGAAAAGACCTGCCTTACAGTTCGTTGAAATTGTTTGGGGAGGATAAGGCAGTGGGTGTGGAATCAATATGTCACCTGTAAATTGTGACAAGGAGTCGTCCATCAGTATCCTTAGGGGTGGGATGGGGGATTGGTTCCAGAACTTGCCTCTCAGCTGTCAAAACCTGCAGGTGCTTACGTCTCTTATATAAAATGGAGTCCTATTTGCACATAGACGACACTTATCTTCCCATACTTTTAAATCATCTCTAGATTACTTACAATAGTGAACACAATGTAAATGCTGTGTCAACAGTTTTTATGCTATATATTTTGGGAAAAAATATATATATATACAATTTTTTTTTCAAATATGTCTTGGTTGAATTTGCCAATGTGGAAACTTTGGATATGGAAGGCTGACAGGATAAAAGTTCCAAATATTTTTTAAATTTAAAACAAGGGGAGAAAAGAGAAGTGGAAATGTCATGAAGAGAGTCACTACCATGGGTTTGGGGTGTTGGCTTTAGCCAGGACTCTCCCTAACAAGGAAGATGGAATTGGCTCATTGTTTGGTTTTGGGAAATGGCCCATTGTGTTTTGGAAATGTTGACATTTGCTGGTTTGGGGTAGTCATGGTGCTTCTGCATGTTTTCTTTTAAGAGTGGATGTGGATCAAGGGGGTCTAGTGAATGTGGACAACCCTCTGAGCCGACTTCGGCCAGCCTTGTGCAAATACGAACACAGGCCACAGGCACCATATGAACTGTGTCTACTGCACAACAGGGGCTTTAATTTCCACTTTGAAGGCTGGTATTATTGGGCCCACTTTAGAGATGAGGAAACTGAGACCTGTAGATGTTCACTTTGACGAGGGTCACAATTTAGTGTGTGTGGGGGGGCAAGTCCTTGTTCCTCGTCCCTTTCTGCTTCTCACAAGGGACATGGAAATACATTATAAACTGTGTAGTGTTGAGTGACCGGAAGGGTCTATTATTACAACAGGCCCTTTATTGATTTTTAGTGATCACAGTGATTTTTCTGGAGCTTTTTAATTTTCCTAGTTGGACAAATGTCCAGCCTCTTGTGCATATCCACCCTAACAGCATGGCCCATGTGGCCTTGGCAGCACCCTGTAGCTCTGAGTCCCAGCCCCAAGTGACCACAGGCATCTCGGAGTCGTAGGAGAGTGGGTTATAGGCACCCTCTCTATTTTTTTCACATTAGCCTATTGCCTGGGAAAATTCCAAGCTTGCCCCCCCCAACCCCACCCCCAACTCAAAGCCACTTTGTTGCGCTGGCATAATTTCTTACAATAACATTAACATATCATTGGAGCTCATTACCTTTGGTGTAATAGTTCCCTATTGAACTGTGTCAGACTAATTATGTCAGTTCCTTTTCATTCCAGTTTAGTGCTTCTCCAGAGAGTCGCAGTGCAGCACTGGTAATAATGATTAAACTGCTGTCTAATGCTCCGCTGGACGGCCAAACCAAACAGGGGAAATTTCCTCACTGAAGATGGACTCGCACCGCCCTTGTACTGGATGCAATTTGGTGTTTTAAAAGCCATTACCCGGCGGTCATCTCTACGTGACGGACAGAGGTCTGGTAGGGCTTCTTGGGGGATGAAAAGGCAAATCAGGAAAGGAAGCTTTGCAAGTCAAGGAGTGGCAGAGAGGCGGCCCAGGTGCTTTGCATTCCCTGGGTGAGTGCGCAGGTTCTGTCGGGGACCATCTGGAGCCAAGCTTTGCAACTCAGCCAGCAGAGGTGGGTGTGCAGGAAGAGGCCAGGGTAATGAATCAGGACAAGCCAATATCAAATGCTTAAAGCTCTGTTGCCAGTGTCAGACGAAAGAGCCCGGGGAAGATGAATGAAAATGAAGTCATTTTCACCTTCCTGTAGTCTCAGGAAGAGCTCTTTGCTCAAGTCTAAATCGAACATAATCTTTGTCTTTTTGCATAAAAGGAAGGAAGGAAATCTTGTGCTTTGACAGGAGCTTTGACAGAAGGTTGATGCTCTTTATCACCTAAAGAGCACAGGATGCTAACCTGGGCTGAGAACCCATTATTGGTGGTTATTAATGATCCTAATAATAATAACCAGCAGCGGCTGAGTGATAACTTTGTGCCAGGCATCGTGTTAAGGGTTTCATGATTTCCAGCTCATTTAACTCATAAAATGACTCTATGGGTGTGTGTGTGTGTGTGTGTGTGTGTGTAATTATCCTCACTTTTCAGATGAGAAACCAGGGTGTAAAGAGATCAAGTAACTTGCTTAAGCGAGTCTCTCCTAGATCATCATATCTAACTCCAAAGCCTGTATGCAAAGCTCTACAGTATGATTAGAGTTGTTTCTCCCAGCCTGGAGCTGTGTCCCTCAGACACTGGATGAGCCCAGTAGATACTGTCACCACCTTCCTGGGGCTGAGAATTGACAGTCAATATCAGCACAAGGTGTTCCACCTGTGAGTGGGCAGAGGCAGAGGGCTAGAGAATGACTTCATTCATTCACTCCTAGTATTTACTGGAGTGTCAACTGGGTGCCAGGTTCTGTGAGGTGCTAGGGATGCTGGGGTCAGCAAAACCCGTCACAGGCTTTGCTTTCTTGGAATCTGTAAGCCATTCAGTTCATGGCAGCTGGGAAATGGCAGAGGGGGGAGGGGGGAGAGAAAGAGAGATAGAGAGAGAAAGAGATCGAGAGGGAGAGAGAAAAGGGACTGAGAAGATAAATCCTTCCTCAGTGACCTGCTTCCTACAACTAGGTCCCACCTCCCAACAGTCCATCCGGCTACCAATGGATTAACTCATTAAATGGATTAATCCACTGATGAGGTCAGAACCCTTACGATCCAATCATTCACTGTTATGGTTTGAATATGAGTTGTCCCTACAAAGTTCTTGTTGATGTCGAAATAGTCAGAGGTAAAATGATTAGATTATGAGAGCTGTAAGCTAATCAGTCCATCTTGGTTTGAATGGACTAATGCTTAAAGCATTAAAACTCTAGGGAGGTAGGGCATAGGTCACTGGGTGTGTGCTCTGGAAGGGTTGTTCTTCCTGTAGCTGCTTCTTCTTTCTCTCTCTCCTTCCTGACCCCACCATGAGCTGGGCAGCTGTCCTCCACTGAGTGCATTCCCCATGATGTGATACCTCACTTTGAGCCCACTGCAATTGAGCTGGCCATCTTTGGACTGAGACCTCTGAAACCATGAGCTCCAAATAAAAATTTTCTCTTCTAAGTTGTTGTCAGGTATTTTGTTACAGTGATGAAAAAAAAACCCTAAATAAAATTGCCTAAAAGCCTCTCCTCTGAAGCTTGCTGTACTGAGTACTATGTTTTAAACACAGGAACTTTGCGGGGACATTCCAGATCCAAAACATAACAAGAGAAAATTGGTAGTACCGAGGAATGAGACACTGCTGTAACAAATACTTAACAATGTAGAAGTGACTTTAGAGCCAGGCAGCATGTGGAGGCTGGAAGAATTTTGAGGTACATGCCAGATAAGGTCTACGTTGCTGTGAATGGACTGTTAAGAATGATTCGGATGAGGGCTCAGAAGGAAAACAGGAGAGCTACAGAGCCAGCTGCAGTGTTCCTCAGGAATGCCTAAGTGATCGACAATGTTGGTGGATGGAACGTGAAGGACATCTTGGTCCATTTTGCACCATAACAGAATGCTGAAGACTAGGTAACTTACAAAGTAAAGAAAGTTATTTTTTTCACAGTTCTGGAGTTGGGGAAGTCCAGTATCAAGGTACCAGTATCTGGTGAGAGCCTTCTTACTGTATCATCTCATGGCAGAAGGTGAGGGGTAAGAGGAGACAAGAAGGAGATATTGAGAGGGGTGAACGAGTGCTGCTATAAGGAACCCACTCCCGTGATAACTCACCCATTCCCACTAGAACAGCCTTAGTCCATTCATGTGGGCAATGCCCCCACCATTCAAAAATTACCATTGGGTACCACTTCCTGACACTTCCACACTGGGGATCAAGTTCCTAACCATGAACTTTGGAGGGACACATTCAAATTGTAGCAGATGGAAAAAAAGTCATTCTGATGAGGTCTCGGATGGAAATGAGGAATGTGTTATTGGACAACGGAGGACAGATGGTCTGTATTACAAAGCGTCAGGGACTTTGCTGAGCTGTGTTTGTGTCCTACTGTTTAATGGAAGGTAGAGCTCATGAATGATGAAACCGGGTATTTGGCTGAGGAAATATCTAAGTGTTAAAGGCACAGCTTGGCTTCTCTTGACTGCTTAGCGTAAAGTGTGAGAAGAGAGAAATGGCTTAAAGATGGAATTGTGAATTGGAAAGGAAGCCAATCTTAAAGATTTGGAAAATTCTCAGCTTATCCATATTGTAAAGAATGAGAAGGATTTTTTTTTTTTTTTTTGAGAAGACAACTTTAAGGGAATTACCATTCGATAAGGAGATCAGACAGCTGTTTAAATTGAAGGAGGAACTACTGTTTAAGACGATGGAAGAAGGACCCACCTCACCCACAAGGTGATCCAGAGACCATCAGAACAATTTCCAAGGAAGAGCTAGCTGCAGGCAGCTGTGGGACCTTGGCATGCCTTGGCATGCCTTGGCAGCATGACCATGGACCAAAGCCCCTATTCTCTGGTGCTTTGGTCATTGGCCACTACCAAGTGTTGCTCCAGTGGGACCCAATGTCCCAGGAACTATGGGGGTCACTCCTCTGGAAGTCACAGGTACCAAGCATGTGGTACACAGAGCCATAGTGGCAGGGCTATACCTAGATTTTGAAGAACTGTCATGAATGCATGACCCAGGCAGAGAACTAGAGAGAACTTCGTCTAGAGCCATGTCCAGAAGAATCACAGGAGAGAGGTTGTTCCTGAGACCCCAGAAAGGTAGAGGCACTGTGTGTGTGTGTGTGGTTTTAGCTCTGGGGAGTCACAAGCATGTGTTTCCAACCTGTGAGGGCTGAATGCCTGGGATAGACCTCACACAGATCAGGGAGGAGCAGGACCACCTGGAGTCTTTGAGACCAACCTCTGACCAAAAAGGTTGTGGGTTGGCTTCCACCCCAGTGGGTCTGCAGGGCAGAGCACTGAGCCAATGAATATTATTCTTGAGCATAAGATTTTGAACTTGTCCTTCACTGTTCTACCTTTTGTGATAAGCATGTTTGTCCTGGGCCTGTCTCACCATTGTATTTTGGAAGCATCTAACTTGTTTGGTGCCACAGGCTCACATCTGGAGGGGAATTCACCTCAGAAGGAATTATACCTTGAATTTCACCCCTATCTGGTTTAGATGATGTTCAGAGGAGACTTTGAAATTCAGACTTCTGAACTGATGTTGGAATACGTTATAACTTTGGGGGGCTACAGGGGTGTTTTGCATGAATATTGGGGGGCCAAGGTTAGAATGCAATGGGGTGAATATTTTGTCCCTCAAAAGTCATATGAAACTTTAAACCTGAAATACTGGGATTAAGAAGTGAAGATCTGAGGAGGTGATTAGGTCATGAGGATGGAACCCCTCATGAATGGGATTAGTGCCCTTAGAAAGGGGGGGGCCTGAGAGAGCTGGTTCACTTTCTACCACACAGAAACACAGTGAAAAGACAGCCACATGTGACCTAGGAAACTGGTCCTCACCAGACACTGAATCTGCCATCACCTCGATCTTAGACTCGTCTCTAGAACTATGAGAAATTAACCTCTGCTTTTCAAGCCACCCAGGCTGTGTTTTTGTTATGCAGCCTTAGCTGAATGTTATAGCATCTCCAAGGCAAGGAGGTGTAGGAACAAACTTTGCAAGTTGCCAAGTGCTGAGGAAATGGTAATCATTGTCAGAGATTTCACGAGTCATGCTATGGTGGGTGCATGGTTCTGCATCAGAATTATCCAGTGTCAACGACGGGACGAAATGCAGATTACCTGGGCCCCACTGGCCTTAAATAGGACTCTGCCTGTAGCAGTTTTTTCCTAGGAGGTGTTCTTGGTGATATTATATCCATTGAATATTGATAGGGGTTCCTTAAGAACAGGTATTTGGTTCACCAATACCTTTTGGAAATGCTGAGCAAATTAGAATTTATTTTTCAAACTGCAGCACTTTAAAAATGCCTCCTCCTCTATTTGAGAGGAGTTACTGTCTCCCATGTGCACTTAACTTTGGCATATCTTTTCCCTAAACCACTTCGTGGGAATCAGTATTTTGTGGAACCATTGTCCCAAGGGGCATGTAAGCTGGGAATTACAAAGTCACATGTTTTCAGGAGCTGGGCTGGCAGGTGGAGGATGGAAGAAAATGGGTATGAGCAATGGGGAGTGGCGAGGGCAGAGGCAAATGCTGGTTCACGTGTTGCTTGGATTCGACATCCAATTGCAAATTTAAAAATCTGGCCCATGATTGCTGAGACTTTTGGAAGAATGAAAAGAGGAATCCTGGGAGCCCCCTGGAGGATAAGCATGCAGATGGTGGCTGGGGAGTTCTGGGTAAGAACCTGGGAGGTGTTCAGATGCTTGCAAAATATGGTTGCTTTGATGTGATACAGCAATCTGTATACGGGGTAAAGTTGGGAGTTCATAACCCACTTGAATCAAACTGTGAAAGATGATGTATTAAGAACTGTGTAATGTTTTGAACGACCAACAATAAAAAAAAAATATGGTTGCTTGGGAGATGAGCTTCCCCAAGATGGTGTGCCAAGTGGTGGTCATGAGAGTAGAAGGTAAGAGAGGGACTGGAGATGCCACCATGGGCATAGACTCTTAGTGTTATGTTTCTCCAATTTTAATGAACACAGGAGGCACCAGGAATCTTGTTAAATGGCAGGTTCTTAGTTAGCAGGTATGCAGTGAGCCTGAGATGATTCATGTCTGTCTAGCTCCCTGGGGTACTGAGCAGCACCAGAGGAGGGTCCTAGGACTTAGGCCACCTGGTCTGAGAGCAGGTCCATCCAGGCTGTATTTCCTTGTAATTTTAGAGTATGTTCTCATTATAAGGAAAAAACTTGTTTTTCCTCACAGGACGCGGGCGAATACGATTTTAGAACGAAGAGGGCAGGGAATGGGAGACACAACTCTATTACTTCAGAATAAATTAAGCCCCTGTTCTGAAATGGTTACCGATAACACAGGCTCAGTAAGTGTGGGATCTCAGGTTCTGGAACCACACTCCCTAGTTAGGTTTATTGCTTTTCTGGGTGACTTTGACCAAGGGATAGGACACTGAGCCTGGCTTTCTAATCTAGGAAAGAGGGCAATAATAAAATCCAGCTTATTGTTTATTATGAGGATTATGTGAGTTAATCTATGTAAAGCATTTAGAATATTGCCTTATAAATGCTCATTCTTCTCTAAACCTCATCTCCTGTGACCCAGTGTGGGAACACTTATTCTGTGGTTATCAGAATCCTGGAGCCTTGAGCTATGAGGTCGGGGAAATGCAGAGTAGATAAAAAGTAACAGCTTTGGATTCAGACAGACCTGAAATGAAGCCCAGCCCTGTCACCTATTCCACTCCCATCACATGACCTAGCAACGCCCCTCCCAGGTATCCATTCAAGAGAAATAAAAACATAATATCCATAAACACTTCTATGCATATGTTCATGGCTGTCATATTCACAATAGTCAAAAATGTGGGAACAACCCAATTTTTTGTGTCCATCATTTGTGAATGGAGAAGCAAAAAGCGTAATAGCCATACAACAGAATACCATATGACAACAGGAAGGAACAATGTCCTGACGCATGCGACAACATGCATGAACCTCAAGCACATTAGTGAAAGAAGCCAGATGGAAAAACTCATGCGTTGTATAATACCATTTATAGAAAATGCTCTAAATAGGCACATCTATGGAGATAGAAAATGAATTAGTGATTGGCTAGAGCCAGAGGGGGCTTGGGGGACAATGGGAGTGAACGTAATGGGCACAGTTATTTCTTTTGGGAGGGATGGAAATGTTCTAAAATTGGATTATGGTGATGGCTGCACAGCTCTGTAATAAACTAATGATCAGGGAATTGTACTCTTAGAAAGGTGAATTTTATGGTAGGTAAATTATATCTCTGAAAAGCTTTTAAAAAGAAACAGGAAAAGCACCTTGAAACCCTTGGACAAGATGAAGTCTCACTTACCAAGACTGCTGGGAGACCAGATTTCTCCCGCTGCCCTCCGGCTAGCACTTTCTCCACAAAGAGTGACCTCAGCCCCTGAGCCGATTGGTTTCTTTCCTCTTTCTCACCTGATTGGAGTGAGCATTTTGCAAAGCTTCAATCTCTGGGGGCAAAAGTCCAACTTCTTATTCATTGTCAAAGGCACAGAATCTGGGTCAGTAGAAAATGTGCTTTTCCCCCTGAAGAGCGGGGTCAAGGAGCAGTTGTCAGTCCCACGAATTAGAAAGGAGGTCGGGGAAGGGCTGAGACAGGCCATCTGCCTCCTGGCTTGGGCCTGGGAAGGTTCTCCTGTTCACAAACCTGCTCCAGCAAGCAGCTCTGTCAAGGGCAAGCAGGTCAGGCAGGTAAGAGCTTACTGGGAACAGATGAGAGGGAGCATGTGCAACCTGAGCCAACCTGGGGTCCTCAGAGGTGGCAGCCATGGGAAGCCATCTGAATACAGGTCAGGGCTGGGGCTCTATGGAATTTGGAGGGTCGGGGCTTGGCAGAGCAGAAGCTGGGACTGGGGTCCCAGAAGGTGGAAGAGGAGAGAGCCATGGGTTTTATGTCGGTGGCGAGTCTCCTCCACAACACTTATTTTTTTTTTTTCCTGTTTGGTACTGGGATAGATTCCAGGGGTGCCTAGACACTGACCCACATCTTCAACCCTTTGTATTTTTTTTTCTTTTATTTTGAGACAAGGTCTTGCTAAGCCACTTAGAGCCTTGCTAAATTGCTAAGGCTGGCTTCAAACTTGTGATTCTCCTGTCTCAGCCTCCTTCTGAATTGCTGGGATTACAGGCATGCACCACCATGCCCAGCCCAGAAACACTTTTAATTACTGTATCATTTACAGAAGGTTGTACAAATCACCAGCATATAGCTCCATGGATTTTCTGAGTTTGCATGGGTTTACCTAATCCCCAGATCAAGAAATGGGACATTTCTAACACCCCGGAAGGCTCTTATAATGCCCTTCTATCTCCTACCTGCCTCTCATCCCCATGGTCAAGCATAACCTGCACTTTTTTTTTTAGATGGACAGAATATCTTTATTTTATTTGTTTATTTTTATGTGGTGCTGAGGATTGAACCCAGGGCCTCATGCAAGCTAGGCAAGTGCTCTGTTGCTGAGCTACACTGAGCTACAGCCCCAGGTCTCATCTGCACTTTTGACACCACTTCTTTGTTAGTGTTGCCTCTTTGTACATTTTGCATAAGTGGAATCAAAAACATTTGCTTGCCTGTGTCCAGTTCTTTTTTTCAACATTGTTGGTGAGGTTCACCAAGGGTGTTGTGTGTAGTTGTCCCTCTTTTCTATGTGCACTATGGCACATTCCATTGTGCAAACACACCACACATTATTTATCAAGGCACCTCTTGCAGGGTGTCTGGGTAGCTTCCAGTGTGGGGCTATGAATAGTGAATAGTGAATAGTGCCGCTGTAACCGTGGTCCACTTTATTCTTTGAATGTAGCCCTTGCTGCTCTGCCACTGCAACTGATTTTTAAAATGGACATGTTTTTTTCTCTTCCTCTCTCTCTGCTCCTCCCTAATCTCTTCCCTCCTCTAATTTCCGGGGAAACAGGGTTACCTTTCTTTCCCGTTTTAGGCAGATTGAGTACACATCCACCATAGAAATGAAGTTATCCAGAATTTGGGGACAGTACCAGAAGATCTCAGAAATGACTGTCTCCCAAATTAACAATTGAAGTACAGCTCCAACAGAGAACCCGTAGAATGTAGCTTTTGAATCCTCCCTTTAAAAGCCCCCCTGTTCCTGCTGATGGGCAGAATCACAGCCTTTGGGACAGGAATCTGCTGTGTTTCTTCTTTGCTAGCAAAGCAATAAAACTTCTTTTTCCTTTTTTTCAAAATCGTGTCCTTGTTATTGGATTGCCATTGGGGACAAGGCAACACTGCTATGCATATTCTGGTATCTGGCTTTGGGTGAACACAGGATGCATTTCTGGTGGGGGGTGTGACTACTGGGTTACAAGTAAGGTATGTATCCATTCAGCTTGAATAGATGATGCCCAATTGCACCCCAAAATGATTGGGCAAATTTGTACCTCCACTGTCAGTATTTAGGGGAGAGTGTGTTCCTCTCTTAACCTCCTGTAATAAATAACATGCATGGAGTCCAGCTATGGGATACATCATGCCTCCTATAATGTTCATAGGCTGAAGCCCAACTGCCAGTACTTAAGAATGTGACTGTGTTTGGAGGTAGGGCCTTATAAGAGGTAATTAAGTCAAAATGAAGCCCTTGCAGAGCCTGACTAGTGTCCTTATAGAAAGAGAAGATGAACAATCATGGAGGTGCCTTAGAGAGAGCCCACACTGGGCAAGCCCAGGTGAGGACACATGCACGTAGTAAGAATCCTTAGGAATCTTTGTTTCCTTTGGGTATGTGCCATGTCTATGAAGCTCTGCAATCAGGAAGGGACAGCATGCTGTCTTAGTCTGCTTAAGCTACCATAACAAAATACCAGAGCAAAAGACTGGGCGGCTTCATACACAGACATTTCTGTCTCCCAATTCTGGAGGCGGCTGGAAGTCCAAGATCAAGGTACCATTCCATTTGGTTCCTGGTGAGGGCTGTCTTCCTGGCTGTGGACATCCATCTTCTTGCTGTGTCCTTACATAGGGCAAGAGAGCTCTCTGGTGACTCTTCTTATAAGGACATTAATTCTACCAGACTAGGTCCCACCCTCATGACCTCATCTAACTTTAATTATCTCTCCAAGGAGACCCAGCTCCAAATACACCCCAGTGGACATCAGGGCTCAACATAGGAATGGAGTGGGGTTGCAATTGGGCTTCTTGAGAAGGCATAGCTTGACTCACAAAATCTCCGAAACAGTCACCATTTGTCAAGCACTTTACAGTTTACAAGGCACATCCTCATACATCACTGTATTGGAGTTATGCATTCAGACTGTGAAATGAAGAGACGGAATCTGAGGGCCTGGCTCACATGTACCTGGGGGGAGGCCGTGAACCTGGGGTTCCACCCACTCCTTCTTCCTCCCACGTGCCTTCTTCCCCCTTTACACCAAACCAAAGCCCCAAACAGCCGCTATTCAAGCAGCCAGGGGCTGGATGTGGAGCCTGATCTCATGATGAAACAAATCAATGAATGAATGAGTGGTGCAGTTAGAATCCTATCTGGGCTCAGCGACTGTCTGTCGATGGGTACAGAAAACGACAAGGTCGACTTGGAACTAACCCAGCATAAAGGCACCTTCGCTCTCGGGTTTTAAAAACTCTTGAACTAGTAATTCTTTCTTCTCTCCGTCCTTTACAGCCCCCCATAGGCCCACACCATCTCTCTTCCACCAAATCTCTTTGCCGTTTACCGTGGACCACGGAGCCGCCCCACCCACACCGTCCCCGTTCTGGGAGTGATCGATGACTGCTGGACACACGCAGAGGGACAGCCGGAGAGACGTCTGCTCCTTCCACGGGCTCGGCAGAGGAGGCGATGGTGATTTTTCATCTGCTCCCGAGCAGAACCAAGCCCAGACAGGCTCTGCGAGATGACAAATAAAGCGTTGTGTTTATGACGCCATGAAAAGCCTCCTTTTTCCTCCTAAAAAAAAAAAAATAAACTTATTTATTTCCTTGTGGGTATGGGTTTGCGGTAAGTGTGGAAGGATTAAGCCTTTGAAGCTGTCGATTTATATCCGTGAGTAATGCGAAGCCTTTGTCTTGGAGAGGAGAGAGCCTTCCAAATTGCAGAGGAGCGAGTCGGGGCCCCTTGGCTCCATCCCTCCGGGGCTCATTTGTTAAATATTTAACGAGCACCTCCTGCCTGCCAAGCCTGGTGTCGGAGGCTGCGAGCAGAGACTATAGCAGAGGGCACGGTCCCTGCCCTGTCTACCCGGGTGATCTACAGGGTAAGTGCAGAGCCTGAGGTTCATCCCGAGACTGTGAGACGCTCAGCAGAAATGACAGGAGCTTCACGGAGGAGGGTGGAGGAAGGATGAGGGGGAACCCAGTCAGGGGGAGGAGGGAGATCCTGGCAGAAGGAATGGGGTCATCAGAGAGGAGTGGGCGGGGCTCCAGGGTAGCTGGGCTTCAGCATTAGGCAGTGCTAGAGATCAGTACCTGGCTCTGGGTTCAAATCCCAGCCTTACCTCCTCCTTACTAGGTGAGATGGGGAAAAAAGCGGTGACCCCCTTACAGGGTTGTGATGAAAACTTGGTGCTGATATGTGTAAGAGCCCAGAGCAGCGTTTGCAGAAAATGCACATAGTCATGACCTGTTATTGGGTTGAGAGAGTGGAAGAGGAGGCAGGAAGAGGTAAGCAGGACGGAAGGTCGGGGTGAGGAGTTGGTGTACTGGTACCCCTACTTGTAGAAATCAGGGGTGCAGATTTCACAGGTCTGGTCTGACCTTAGGAAGGGAGCCTCATTGGTGGTCCTGAGAGAGACCTGAGGGCAGGTGGTCCAGTGGAAACCCCGGTGAGGAGGGGGAGGTCCCAGGAAGTCAAGCAGAGGAGGTATGGCCCAATCATGGGGTCTGCAGGCAAGAGATTCCCCAGGCCAGGGGGCGGGCAGTTTCTGAAGAGCTCACAAGCAGCCCATTTGCTCAATGTCTTCAGGAGGGTGAGAAGCAGAATCAAGAAGTGGGTGGTTGTCTCTGCTGAGAGGTCCCCTGGGGGTGGATTAGGGGTCTGTGTGGACCCAAAGCACAGGCTGAGCCAAGCAAGCTGAGCATCTATAAAAGCAGGAGTTTTGTGAGCTCAATGATATGTCTCTGTTTCATGGAGCTTAGAAGATGGGGATGGGGGACAGGGAGAGGAAGAATTAAATAAGTGTTGACAATTCAGTGAGGTGAGGGGAAGCCAGGGAGGGTCTTCAGTCTGTGGGAACACAGAGGAAGGGTGCATCACCGAACAAGAGAATCAGGGCAGACTTCCTGGAAGAAGAGGCCTTTATGAAGAGCTTCACAGGATGGGCTCGAAGTTGGCAGGAGAGCTTTGTGGGTGAAGTCCTCGAGGTGAGGGATAGCTCAGGAGGATGAAGGGACTGCAGGTTATTCATCCTGGAGGACAGAGGTGAGTGTCCAGACCAGGGAAGAGTGAATCCATCACAGACTAGATGTGGCTTTGGGTGATTCTGAGGGGGTTGACTGAGAGAGGTGGGGGTCCTCCAGGAATCGGACAACTCAGCCTCCAGGAATCTCTGGATCACTTTTTGGCTGTGTGCCTGGACCCTTGCTTAAACTCTGAGTTTGTTTTCTCAAGTGTTTTGGGTGGTGGACAAAGAAACAGAATGTATTCATTCATTTAAACAAATATTACTGAGTGACTGCTATGGGCCGGGTAGAGTTCTAAGCACTTGGGATTATCCTGGAGTATAGGAAGATAAAGTCCCACTGTCATGGGGCATACATTTTAGCAGGGCACACAGGTGTAAATGCTATGAAGAAAAAAAAAATCCACCCAGGTATCAGGTGGCAGAGTACAGCTGTGTGGGAGGGCGTATGGGAGGGTCAGGGAAGGCTTCTTGGAGGCGGTGACCTCTGAGCAAATGACATGGGGGAAAGAATCATCACAGCTGAATCCTCCATAAAGGTACTAAGTGTAGGAAGTACTCTCAAGGTTTTGCCTGGACCAACCCAGTTAACCCTATAACACCCCGAGAGCCTGCCACTGTCCCCACCATGCTACATAATCAAGTCCCAGGGCTTGAGTCCAGGGTGGGCTCCAAGCCAAGGTCCTAACCACCCCTCCTTGCTCCAGGCAGGAAGGACAGGAAGCTCTGAGTGTGTCTGAGCTCGGAGGAGACCTCAGTGGGGACAGTGTTTGCAGATGGCAGAGTGCTAGCCAAATGTGAAATGTCATCACTGGAATCTTCTTCAGGGTGTGAAGGAAATTCGGCTAGTGCTCCTTGCACCCGTGGCCATTTCTGCTGATCCTAAGAACAATGGAGCATCTGCAGAGCTGTTTCCTGTGTGACTCTCAACAAGCCACATGAAACTGCAATATGCTAAGGGGTGGGAGAAATGCTCATGCAGAAAAGGAGCTCCTGCTTTTACTCTTTGTGAAAGTCGTAGAGCTACACGTTGGAACACAGAGAAAGGATGTGAAATGACCTGCATAGTCACCATGTAAATACAAGCCCCATTCTATTTGGAAGTATTTCCTTTGATTCTTTTTTTTTTTTTCAAAAGCAGTGGGTGTTTTAGTTGGGTAAGGTAGATAATAAAGAACTCAGAGGGTTTGGAATACATAGTCAATGGCACAATGTCATTATGTGACAGGAAAATATAGGCTGACACAACACACTATTTTACTTCCATATTCTCCAGAGTATCGGCTTTCCCAAACCACAAAGGAGGACAGACAGAGTCCTGTGGCAGATCACTGGAGACTGGGTTTCAGATATGCCAGTCCTCTGCGGGATTACCTGCTTGCCATCTTGATGGCCAACTCACCATATTGTCACCTTGTACTTCAAGCCTTTTGGTTAGTAAAGAATTCCTGTGAGAGCAGGGAGGAAGAGCATGAGAAAAAGATTAACATTAAACAGGGACAAGAGGTGGGAGGGAAAGGGAGAGAGAAGGGAAATTGCATGGAAATGGAAGGAGACCTCATTGTTATACAAAATTACATATAAGAGGATGCAAGGGGAAAGGGAAAAAAATCAAGGGAGAGAAATGATTTACAGTAGAGGGGGTAGAGAGAGAAGATGGGAGGGGAGGGGAAAGGGAGGGGGGATAGTAGAGGATAGGAAAGGCAGCAGAATACAACAGACACTGGTATGGCACTATGTAAAAACATGGATGTGTAACCGATGTGAATCTGCAATTAGTATACGGGGTAAAAATGGGAGTTCATAATCCACTTGAATCAAATGTATGAAATATGATATATCAAGAGCTTTGTAATGTTTTGAACACCAATAAAATAAAAAAAAGAATTCCTGTGAGTAAAGAATTTTTAAGCATCCATTCTCCATATAGACATATTTATTTGTAAATCATACCATCATCCATCTGCAGATTACATATCAGTATAATGTAACTAAAATATTAATATTATGTATAATATCAGTGGTAGAGCATCCCTGGGTTCAAGATTGAACCCAGGGATGCTCTACCACTGAGCTACATCCCCAGCATTTTTATTTTTTTATTTTCAGACAAGGTCTCACTAAGTCGCAGACTGGCTTTGAAATTGTGATCCTCCTGCCTCAACCTCCCGAGTAGCTTGGATTATAGGCATGCCCCACTGTGCCTAGCTTAATTTCTTGTTTTAATATAAAAATGCAGATGTTCCAACATTCTCTTCTCACCCTATTTCCTGAGATGCTCATCCCCCACTGATTTAATCCACCACCCCTCTCCCTATCCACAGTTCATATCAGTAGGAAATAAATCCCAGATCTTCCATTAATAGAGACAGATCACGGGAGGGAGAATGGGAAGAGTGGAAGTTCAAGGCCAGGCTCTGTGTTGAGGGAGGACGACTGAGCGGCTCATGCACAGCTGTGCTGGAGATTTGGACTGAGAGTGCAAGACTTGCTTAGCATAATGAAGTGAGAGGAGGTGAGCTGAGGGGTGGGGGAGCTGACCACAGCCTGGGGGTGCGACGCCAGGGAGGAGCCTAGGGGCAGGGTCGCCAATAATGTGGTTTTTATAATTGTTGTAAAATACACATTAGGCTTACCATCTTCATTATTTTTAAATGGACAATTCAGTGGCATTAAGGACATTGCTAATGTTGTGTAACCATTGCCATTATCTGTCTTCAGAACATCTCATCCTTCCAAATAGAACTCTGCACCCATTAAACAATAGCTCCCTCTCCTCCTCCTCTGGGCCCTGGCACTCATGATTCTGCTTTTTCCTACGAATCCGACTATTCCAGGAGCCTTATCTAAGGGGGATCTTTTTTTTTTTTTTTTTTTTGTACTTGGGATTGAACCCAAGTGTGCTTTAACACTAAGATACATTTTTAGCCCTTTAATTTTTTTTTTTTAATTTGAGACAGGGTCGCTTTAAATTCCTGAGGCTGGTCTTTAACTTGCTATCTTCCTGCCTCAGCCTCCTAAATTGCCTCAGCCTCCTAAATTGCTGGATTACAGAAGTGTGCCATGGTGACTGGCCAGCATTTGCCCTATTGTGACTGGTCTATTTTACTTAGCACAGTGTTCATAAGGTTTATGCATGTTGGTTGTGACATGCGTCAAAATTTCCTTCCTTCCTTCCTTCCTTCCTTTCTTTCCTTCTTTTTTTTTTTTTTGTTACTGGAGATTGAACCCAGGGGCACTTACCCACTGAGCTACATCCCAGCCTTTTAAAAAAATAGTTTCTTTAGAGACAGGGTCTCACTGAATTGCTTAGGGCCTTGCTAAATTGCTAAGGCTGGCTTATGAAATTTTGATCCTCCTGCCCCAGCCTCCTGAGCCACTGGGAATTCAGATGTGCACCATTGCACCCGGATCAAAATTTCCTTTTTTTTTTTTTTAAGGCTAAATGAGATTCCATTTTATGTCTATCGCATATTTTCTTTATCCAATCATTGGTTGATTGACATTTGGGTCCCTTCTACTTCTTGGCTATTGTGAGTAATGCTGCCATGAACACGGCTGTGCAAATATATTTGAGATGCTTCTTACAATTGTTTTGGTTATAAACCCAGAAATGGAACTGCTGTTCATATGGCACCACTGTGTTCAGGGACCAACACACTATTTTCCACTCTACACCCGCTCCTGCAGGGCACATACCAATGCCTTGTGAAACAGCGAGGTCCCACATTGCTGTGATGTGGATTCAAAAGTTTGAAAGTCCTTGATCACCAGCAAACTTTCCTGAGCTCTTTGGTTTTGAGGACATGGTTTGCAGGTCTCATTGGGCAGAATTCCACATTGGGGTCAAGGAGGAAGGGAAAGGATGGGGCAGGCATGGGAGTTCCAATGTGAGACAAAGAAGCACCGGAAGTTAAGAGCCTGGGTTCTGGTGCATCCTTATTGTGTATTCTTGGGCAAGTTATTTAACTTCTCTGTGCCTCAGTTTCATCATCTGTAAAATGGGGATGGTAATCTCTACCTCATAAGAGGTTATGAGAAGTAAATGGTCTAATATGCACAAACACTGTGAAGAGCTTAATAATCTTAGGCTGTTTACTTTTGAGATTAACAATAGCTGAAATTTCTTTTTCTGGAACTGGGGATTGAACTCAGGGGCACACTCAACTACTGAGCCACATTCCCAGCCCTATTTTGCATTTTATTTAGACATAGGGTCTCACTGAGTTGCCGAGTGCCCTGCAGTTGCTGAGGCTGACTTTGAACTCGTGATCTTTCTGCCTCAGTCACGAGGTGTGTGCCACTGTGCCCGGCTAACAGCTGAAATTTGAAGCTGTAATGCAGAGCCTACAGTGACCCTAACAACTTGAATCCCTGATCACTGAGAGACTCCTTGGGATTCAGTGTTTGATCAATTTCATTCAAATCTGAAGGGACAGGGCGGCCCCAGCTGAAGAGCTGAAGCACTGTGGTGCCCCGGATCTGGTGTTCAAGTTCCCTGCCTGAGTGTTCTTCTCTAAGGTGATGGAGTACCAAACTGCCATCTGGAGAGCAGGAAGGGAGAGCTTTGCTGCTCTTGGGATGGAGCCAGGCTTCCTCTCTTTGGATAACTCCCTAGAGGACTCTTCCATAAAAGTGAATATTTGTAAAGTGCTTTACAGTTGACAAAGCCCCTTTCTATCCATTATCTTATTTGATTATCACAACAACCGCTGTGATCCTCTTACTGCTGGAGAACTGGGGATGGTCAGAGAGGGAGGGGGAGAGGGAGAGAAAAGGGAGGGAAGAGGAGGGGGATGGAAGTGAAGGAGGAGGGAGGGAGGAGGGAGAAGGAAAGGGAGATGGGGAAGGGGGTATGGAGGAGAGGGGGAGGTAGTGAGAGGGAGAAAAAAGGGAGCAGGAAGGGGAAAGGAGGGAAATGCAGATGTGGGGAGGGACAGAGCACATGGGGAACCAGAAATGGACCGGAAATGAAGAAGAAGAGGATAGGAGGAGGAGAGCATAAGTCATGCCGAAATGCTGATTTGGGCTCTTACCTTGATTTTACTTTATCATTTTTGTTTTTAACAATAGCCTGGGTCTTTATTTTTGTATCACTACATTATAATGATATATAATAGCGGGATTCGATATGCCACATTCACCATGCACATAGCATAATTTGATCAGCTCCGTTTCCTGTTACCCCCCATTTCCCTCTCTCCCTCTCACTGATGTCCTTGCACCAGACCTCAACTGTCTCCCTTCTATTGTTATTGTCATTATTTTCAATTAGTGCATTACGATTATATATAAACCCAGGCGCATCGCAGTGCATTGGTACATGGACATTGCATAACTTATTGGTGTTTGTTCCCCAGTCCTTCCCTTTGCCTTCCCATCCTTCCTCCCTCTGCATCTCTTCTTCTCCTCTCAGTTCCTTCTGTTTTCATGATATCTCTACTTTATCCCCTCCCCGATTTTTTTTTCTCTCTAGCTTCCATAAGTAAGAGACACTTGACTTTCTGAATCGGGCTTATTTCACTTAGCATGATGTTCTCCAGCTCCTTCCACATACCAGCAAATGACACAACCTCCTTCTTTATGCACAGAACTCCGTTGTGTGTATGTATACCACATTTTCTTTATCCGTTTGTCTTTTAATGGACTCGTTGACACTGACATCCCTGTGTTCCCTTCTCCCCAGACCCTCAGGTGTGGAAGAAGCAGACTCTCAGATGCTCAGGCTGGGGGACAATCGCTGACTCAGTTTCCAGCAGGAGAAAGGTGCAGCCAGGGCTGTGGCTGCCCAACCTTGAGTTACACTGAGCTGAGCTATGGCTTCAAAGCCTGGTCTTCACCAAGGGCTCCAGCTGAGGAGTCACGATGGTGGGATCAGGTGTGCCTGAAGCCTGGTGAGGGGGATGTCAATGGTATTCCCATTTTACAGACGAGGAAACTGCGTCTGGTAAGTGCTCCAGCCAGGTCTGTCTAACCGCAAGATTTAACTTCTCCACTCCATTCAGAGAAGCATGCTCAGAGGTAATTCCTGTAGGAAAAGAACATGGGAAAAAACTGTTCATCCATTGCCATCATTCAAGCCAAAAGGGCAACCGAAAGGAAGATGCATTTAAAAAAAAAAAAAACCCTCCAAAATGTGTCATGGGCTCACGTTTATCCCCACTTTAAACAACAACTGAGATGTAGTCTACGGGGCTATTTCCAAGAAAATAGGAATGGTGTTATGATTATTCAGAGATTCCCCAAGAAGCCAAGGCTGTGGTTTTGGAGGAGCAATTTTCTGACTCGCAGATGGTGTGAGCAAAGAGAGAGGAGCAGGAGCAGGAGGGGCTGGGGCTGGGAGGGAGGGTGGGCAGGTGCCCTGCCTAAGCCCTCACAGGCATAACTCTTCCCTAGAGGCCAAAGACAGCTCTTATCATCATCCCAGGATGCCCTGCGGCACAGTTAAGTGCTTTAAGTGGAGGCTCCGAAAAAAGGCCATTTCCCGCCAAGACT